ATAGATAGATAGATGTGGTGTATGGGAATAGATCGATAGATAGATCGATAGATAGAATTTAAAGCCTTTCAGGAAAGTATCTCTAGATCTAATATCTCACACACAAAGCTCATGCACTCTATCTATTTCTCACTGATTCTCCTTGACACAGGCCCCAATTCAGCAAAGCGCTAAAGCACACCCTGAACTTGATTCACATGCTGAAGTGCTTTGCTGAGGCTGAGTTTTAGCTCTCCAAATCTCTTACAGAAGGTCCTGCGGACCATCACTCACCGGGTCCTCTCACCTGAGTAAGGATGACTCACTTGTGTGAGGCTTGCGGGCTCAAACCCTAATTCTGCCTCTACCTATCGCGGTGGGCTTCAATAAGATTGCCTGGGATCTAAGTGCGAGTGTGTTACCACTGTTATAATCCAGCTACTATTTATTCACTTCGTTAGGCCATGGCTACACTGCAGAGCCTATGTTGTATACTCACCCTGGCCTAGCACCACCCTACCCTGACAGCAGGAAGAGTTCTGCCATTAAAGGAACACCACCTCCCAACCACTAGCTGTGCCACTTAGCTGGTTTTCTCACCCCCTGACCGACACATAGCTATGCCAGTCTGTTTAAAATGTAGACCAGGCCATAGTTTCACTACGTCCTTCAGCTGTTTGTGTTTATAGAGCTGTAACTATCGTATTAACCCTGTAATGCCAATGAAGCTATAAATAAACATTACATTCTCTGGTCCATGAGGGACCTGGATTCCAACCCCTGCCTGCCTAGCCCACCTGCAAACTATAGCTCTGTTCTCAGCTCCCTGCTAAGGGCCTGTTACCAGCATAGGGCCTGCGCCAAAGTCCTTTTGAAGTCAGTGGCTTGCTTTTCCATTGACTTCAATGGGCTAAAGGCGCAGACACATGGCCAGCAGAGCACATATCCTTCCCTCCAGGTGTAATTAACAGGAGACTTTTCACCGCAGTTAAGTCAGGCAAATATTTCCCTTCCCTCCTCGCAGAGTGTGTAAGGAGCTGCATTCCCCCCTCCCACCTGCTTCTTTCATGTTGGTGTCAGCGCTTTGATTTGTGCCAGGATGGCTGGTGTTATTCCCCAAGACTAGTGAGCAACGTGTAAGAGCACCCCCCCCCCCGCCGCCCAGACACCTGAAGCTTATTGTCCTTCAACCATTACTCATCCCTGCCCACAGGCATTCGCCCCTTCGCCCAACAGGCACTTGAATGCCCGCTTGGATTGGAAAGCTCAGAACCTGATTTCATAAAATGGGGGAAGAAAACAGAGTGTGGGGTGTTGTTTCTTGTTCTGGTTGAATTGCTTTTGATGCTCATTTTTTCCTCTCTTTTTTTCTTTCTTGATGTTCGTTGAGGGAGGGATTTAGAGAACTTCGGAAGAAGAAGAAGAAATGTATTGTATTGCAATAGCTGTTCCTGGGAGCCAGTCAATGGATCCGTCGTGCTAAGCGCTGTACATATAACAAAGTGTTTGTTTTGTTGGTTGGTTGTTGTCTCTCCATTTGGGTTTTTTCTTTATTTGGTTTGATTCTGTTTGCTTTTTGTGTCTGGGCGTTTGGATTGGGAGAATATTTTTGTTTTGTTGGCACATTTGTATTTGTTTCCTTGGAAAGTTTTGTGTTTCTTTTTATATTTATTATTAATTAGTATTATTATTTCTGGTTGATTGGTTAGTCGGGGGCTGTTTGGCTGGCGTTTGTTTTGGTGAGCTTTGGTTGGTTGGTTTTATTTTCATATCAAGGCACTTTTTTTATTTTTAAGCCCTGAAATTTTAGGGGGCGATTCTCTTTTACTCTCAGGGATTCATTTTCCAAACTGTATCTTGTTCGGAATCGAACAGGAGACTGACGGTTGCGGTTGCAGTGGAAATTGAAAACCAGACACTCAACCTTGAACTCAGCCTTCCCCAGCCCAGCAGAGCCTGTCCCAGGAAGACCGTGACCCCGTAAGGGAAGCAGGCTACCAACATACCGAATACAGCAAAGCCAGCCAGGCCGGCGATTGCTGTCTGCGGAGAGCACCGAATGGGCAGCGCAGGCCAGCCAGAGGCCCTGGCTAAAACAGATCGCCCTTGGCAAAGAAGAAATGTGCCTAGGGGAGGATTAACCCGACTTCTCACCTGCCCCGCGAATGTGTGGGGCGAACACAGGCGCCGGGTGAAATTCGGGCTCCCTGGAAGCCCCTGGCAGTGATTGAAACGAGGCCAAGAGTTCGCCCGCAGTCTGAAGACGGCAGAGGAGGGAGCCGCCCTCAAGGCAAGGAGCAGCGTGTCCCTGATGGAGTTTAAAGGAAGCATTTGTCCTCCGTCTTCCCCCGCCCCCAGTCTCTCCCAGCCGCTCCCCATTTTGCAAGCCCTGGTGTCTGTTTCAGGGCGCTCCCCGTGCGAGGGCCGGTGCGGCATTCGGGGAATGGATGCGGGGTGATTTTCCTCTGTCCATGTCCCTCCTAGATCGTGTCAATTGCATCCCACAATGCGCCCCTTAGGGCCCAGTGAAAAGGGAAGCCCGTCTTTCCTGGGCTGCTGTAGCTTGGCTGGGAGGCAGTTTCTGTCGCTCCAGGTAGAGGAAGAAGCTTCGCTTCGCAGTTGGGCCCCTCTGAAATAAAGTTCCACAAACCACTGGGTTGTTTTGCTGTCTTTCCCGCTTGAAAAAAGTACTAATTTTTCAAACGATGTTTTCTCATTTTGACCGCAATCCTCTCTGTACCTGCCGTATACAATGTGGAATAATGCAAGCGCTTCCCATAGGCATCTAGTTCATAGACTGTGTGAGAGAGATACACTATGCCAGAGCACACACATCTAGCTTGTGTGTGCCATATGCATGTGAGCTAGTCGGTTATAATATCTACTATGTAGATTAGCTAAACCAGGGGGCTAATTACGTGCAAGTGATCTGAAGGAAAATTGGCCTGATTGACTATAAGGACAAGGGGAGATGTGGGGAAGAAAAGCCAAAAATCTCATCTTCCTCATCTCCAAGATCCAGTGGAGCGGGGCCAATGAGACAAGCGGCGTAATCGGAGCAGAAGCTGGTTCGGTTATTGGCGTCTGTTAATTAAACAAAAAAAATGATCGTGGAAATAAAACACCAACCGCTGACACAAGCCCAGAGAAAGCCATAACGGGACCCTCAGCCCAGCTCTTCCAGCCAAATCCAGCAGACCCCTTTGAAAGGGGGAGCTGCTGGGAGCTCTGGGTGCTATCCTGTGCTAGGATGAAGGTTTAAACAAAGACAGACCCGGCGTGGGTGACTGGGCCGCACATTTCCAGCCAGTCCCAGGAAAGCGGTGGAGCATTGAGTTCCCACACGTGCGGGCTGTAATAAGGACCACCGGGCTGTATAGGGAAGGCAGGACAGGCCCAGGGGGAGTCCTGGTCTCTCTGAATTAGCCCAAGGGGCTGGGCTGGGATTAGAGGGTTAATAAACTCGATGGGGGACACACGTGACTGGATCCCTAGTGGTTTAAATCAGGCTGAGCCGGGTTTTCTGGGGGGAGGGGGTTTGCGATCCCTCCCCACTCTGAGCTCAAAATCAGCGCCGCGGCCGGGTCCCCGCAGCCCCTTGATCTGCCAGCCATGGAGGCGCAGGGCTGCCTCTCCTTCTGCCCGACAGCACCCCCGCCACCTCCCGCAGGCAAAGCCCCCCCAGCTCCAGGCCTGCAGCGGCGCATCTTCCAGGGCAACCAGAAGCTACCGACCCCCCCTCAGCATCACCCGCTTCCCCCGCAGCAGCAGCGGCTCAGCCCCAGGCCGGGCCGCTACCCGGACACTTACCCTCCAGCCCAGGAGAAAGCGGCCCACAAATACTTGGAGTCCCCCAGCCCGAGCCACCACGCGCTGTCTGTCAACGGGAAGGCTTTCTACCAGGCCGTGGCCGAAGGTAAAGGGGGGTCTGGGCCCTGCACTGGCCTCCCGGGGGCAGGAATAGCCAGGGGTGGGTACGAACGGGCCGTGCTGGGAGCCAAGGTGGCCTTGCGCACAGGCACCGAGGGCCAGGGCTGGGGCAGCAGGACTCGGCGAGAGGGGGACTGTGTGACCTTAACCAATCCCTCTGAAAAGTGTTACAGAGCCACTCCTGGGCTGGAAGAGCCTTTTATTAAACGCACTGCTATCTGTTTCTCCGCTCTCCCCTTCCTTCCTGGGATAGCACTTCCCTTGTCTCTCTTTCTTTCCTTCTTGTGTGTCTGTTTCTTTCCTTCCTTCTATTGCCTTCTTTCTTGTCTCTCCTTCCTGAACTGTTTCTTCCTCTCATTTTTTCTTTCTTGTAGGTCTTTCTCGTTCTTTCTTGTACAGTATGTGTTTCTTTCTTATCTCTGTCTCCTTGTCTTTCTTGTCATCCGTTCGTTCGTTCTTTCTTGTCTCTCTCTCCTTCCTTCCTTGTATGTTTCTTTCTTTCGTTCTTTCTTTCTTTCTTTCTTGTGCGTCTCTTTCTTTTTTTCCCTTTTCCTTGTATGTCCCCCCCCACCCTGTATACTTATTTCTTTCTCGTCGCATTTTCCCTCGGAGCCAAGTGATTGTATTTCAGGCACTATACAAAGGTTCTACGCTTCTCTCTCGTTGCTTTCTAGAGCAATAAGCAGCTCAAATGAACATGTGCGATCTGCCCCATCCCTCCCCCATGGTAGAACTGTCCCGTTTTCTCCTCATTTCATTCGGTTAAAGGGTCGATCCTGCAGTCCTCGGGCAAATCTCCCCTTGAAGCCATCCCTGAGTCAGAGCTGCCAGGTCGGGGTTTCAAAGGGATCTCCGAACAAATTGCAAATTTCCACCTCTAGCTTGAAAGGGGATGGGGGGGATGTGTGACAGAGAAACAGGGAATGTATTTGAAGTTAAAACTGAAAAATAAACGTTGTTTGGCAATTCACAGAAATTTCCCCTAGTACTCCAGGAAAACCAAGAGAGCTATGTTTTCCGCCGAGTCTCCTTAGCATTGGCAAGCACCAAATTTTATAATCCTCACGGGATCAAACTTCCTCCATTTTTTAAAAGATATACATTTTAGAAAAAGCATTGCATAGAGCAAAGAAAGATATTTTACATATTATTTCTTGATCATTCTTCTTTCTTTTCTCTCTTTCCTTCCCTCTCTTTCTATTTGGCTTCTATACAGTCCAGGCGTTTATTCTGTAATCAGCTAGATCAGAAATCGAAGGAACTGAAGCAAAAGTATTTTTTTCTCCATATTGTGCTGACTTTACATTATATCCCTCCTTTCCGTATCTGTTTCTTTTTTATTTCTTTATTTGTGTGTTTTAAAATTCACTTTCTAAAATGTCTAAAATAATTTTTAAAAGCCCTTCCTGACATGCTGGAAAAGTTCTTTCCTTCATCTTTATATTTAATTCTATTTATCTATCGCTGGGTGGCGGTTTTCTTTCCTTTTCATCTATCGATCTAAATGTTTACATATTTGTTGGATTTTAAAAATAATCGGTCATAGACACAAAAGGTTCCCCTCCGCCCCCAATGTGCTGCAATATTAAATTTGGCAAAAGGTATATTGGGAAACAAGGGAAAAGAGAGACATGTCTATTGGTGACTGAATGTTGCCTATGATTTAACAAGGAGAAATAAGCTAGATCAATATATCAAGAGGTCCGTTTTCGTTTTATGGACACAGGGCAGCACCCAGGTTAGCCTAAATTCTTTACTATTCCACTGTTAAGTATCACCATGATCAAAATTGTGCTTAACAATAGATGTGTGAACATACTGGGTTTTATTATCATCATGATAATCATCTGCGATTTGCAAAGCTGCGTAAATCATGCAGCCAAATATTATCGAAATTCAATAGGGATTGCGCTCCTACCAGCCGCCTGCGCGCAAAGATTTAACGCACGTGCTTAATTTTACACGCAACGGGTGAAATCCTGATCCCAGTGAAATCAACCGAGAGTTTTGCCATTGACTTCAGCGAGGGCAGAATCTCTCCATCATAGGATCAGAGGGGTAGCCGTGTTAGTCTGAATCTGTAAAAAGCAACAGAGGGTCCTGTGGCACCTTTAAGACTAACAGAAGTATTGGAGCGTCTGATGAAGTGGGCATTCACCCACGAAAGCTTATACTCCAATACTTCTGTTAGTCTTAAAGGTGCCACAGGACCCTCTGTTCCATTATAGGACAGTCCCACTCCCGGCCCCCGTGTCAGTCATTCACAAAGTTCTCATTGACTTCAGCGGCTCAGGGTCAGATTTAGCGAATGGTTCCATTGAAGTCAATGAAACGGGGCAAAGTTAAGCGACTGGGTGTTCGGACTTCTTTGAGAATCCAGCCGTGTTGGTACGGGCTTTACCTGGAGAAATAAGAAAGGAATATTATACATCTATAGAAGTTACAGTGCCTGTAATTTCTACTGAAAACTGTTGGAAGGGACTGGATGTACATTGCTCCATCCTTTGATCCCATGTAATAACCCCCTTGTATCTTCCTCGCTCAGGCAAGCAAGCTGTTATTGAAGGCTATGGGAATGAGGAGCTTTATGGGGTCAAATCCGGGCTCCCTTGGAGTCAATGGGGTTTTTACCATCGGCTTCGATGCAGTCAGGATTTCACCGCAGCCTGTGTGAACCCGGGCGTTGCTTTTTTTTCCCCCCCATGCAAAGGGAGGATCGCACAATGATTTTCTCCACCAGCAAAGAGGGTCGTTTCAGGAGCCGAGCAGGGCAAAAAGAGATGGGGGGAAATCAGTGCAGAAAATAAATCATGGGAAAAGCTGAGGTTGTAAAAGTTCCGCGCTTCTTGGCAATCGCACGAAGCTTTCGAGAGTAGAGAAGCTACTTTCCTGTCCTGCCAATTCGTTGCACGCGTTTGTGTCCTTGTCTTTTCCCCGGACAATTGGCATTTGGGGCGCTATTGAAAATCCCCCTATGTATACGCTCAGTTTACTGCCCAAGAGGATTCGGACAGAGAGGGGTTAAAACACGGAAGGCGACTAAATGGCGTTCGAATGCTTTGAAAATCTGCAAAGCCCCTTAGGATCCTTTGGCCTGAAAACCATTCTGGATATTAATGCCTGGTGATCTATAGCGTTAGATAATGAGGAATCCAAGCCTACCAGTGTGCAAGCCAAAACATACCGCTGGGGGATAATAATCTAATCTAGAATAGGATTGTTTTTATCCTATTATTATTTACTAATACCTAGCTCTTAAAAATAACCAGACTTGAAACTGATAAAACACAAACACTCTATAAATGAAGGATAATACTCTATGGACATTAATGCTAACAATGCAACCTAATAAAGGGCAAATAACAACAAACAATAACAGATAATATAATGATACCTACCAGCACAATGAACTTTGATGATGCTGATGACAGTAGGAAAATAAGAATAGAAGAAATAACAAAAAAAATATTACACTGCTAAAATAATTATCCAGTATAATAATAATCAAATGCTAATTAATTATAACGACTATTGCACTGATGTTAAAATAATCGAATAACAAAACATCAGCAATGAGTTTCAACCATAACAATACAGTTATTGTTATTCTATCACTCCATTTAAACCTTTAAATAACCTCTGGACTTCACTGCCACTTATTAATTACTGTTGTGGTTAAAAAGTGGCTGTGAGTTCCAACGGTTAATGATCAGTTATTGTTATTAAAGTGGCAGTGAGTTCCAACGGTCAATGATCAGTTATTGTTATTATTAAAGTGGCAGTGAGTTCCAACGGTTAGCTCGCGGCGAAAATGCAGCGTAATAAAATCAAATCATACTTCTACATCTTACCGAAAGGAATGCCCTGGGATTGCGTCAGGCGTGTCAGTGCTATTGGGGTTCCCACACATGTATACCCAGCCTGCCCTACCTGCAATTCCTACAGTCCCCCCTCCCCCACATGTAAATCCTTTCCCCTTCAGATGAACTTAAGCCCCGTTTTCCATCCCCGCGCCCCAGTCATAGACCCTGGCCCCGCTGCTGAAATCAAAGGAAGAAAACGGGGCATTTGTTGAATCTTTCATTAAAGCTCATTTATCAGGCCCGAAACGGAGGAGCAGGAGCCGCTCCCCGCCGCCCCAGAGCCTGCAAAACACAAACGCAGCTCGGGCTTATTGTCCCCACGCTGATCCGTAAAGCTGGGGAGGAGAGCCCCGTTCCTTGGGCCAGAGAAGCAAGCCTTTCATTGTGCGTTTTCTCCTTGCTTTGTCTGCTCACCTAGGGGCTATAAACTTCACAAATCAAAACTCTCTCCTTGCGAAGCACGAGCTACTTGCTGTAGGATCTAGCATTTGTGCGTCTAAAAGATATCCACGCAAATCAGAGAACATTCGAATCCCATTTGGAAGAGCAGTGCCAATATTTTGGCTATAGCCCTTCCCGTTTCTGCGTCTCCGTTATTTAGAAATCATTTTTCAGTGGCTGAATTAATTTCAAACCTCTATGTACGTCTATATATTATGTATTTCCGTGTAGGAATGTCTGCCCATATTTATATCACAACTACACATACAATTCTGTTAAGCCTCAATCTCTCTCGGTCTAAAGCCAAACAAATATATATAAGGTGATAAATAATTCTTCAGCTGAAAATAATTTATGGCTCATGCAAAGTCAGAAATTTCGCTGAACAAAGAGGTTCGTTCGTGTTTATAGAGTCAAAATGCTGTCATTGATCCGGCTGAATTTTATTTAGATTTGATCTTTTATTGTATACACATACTTGCATTTATCTATACATATATAGATACGTAGCGATCCATCTCAAATGATAGATAGATTAGGTAGCTATTAGTGCTGGTCAAAAATGCTATATTTTTTCACCAAAAAAATTAACAAAACGAAACATTTTTAATTTCATTTGACCATTTGGGGGGATTTTTCCTGTTTTTGATCAAGCAAAAACTGAAAAAAAAAAAAAGTTATT